GCTTCCACATAAATTAACTTTAAGAGTGTTTTTGCCTAAGTTTTTTTTTTTTACATTCAACCCTTATTTATACAGGGTAATCCCACTATTGAGCCTTGAGAACTCATTTACAAGAGAGACCTGGTTTTACAGTAAAAAAACAAAAAACAAAAACAAATCAGCTTTTATTATGAAAATACAAAAGGAAATTTAAGTGTTTTGAGCTTTCTGTCTAGGGCCCTAAGGGTCTTGGTTCTGGTTCTCGGGCTTTAATACATTACTGTATCTGAAAATTTGTAAGATTTTATTTCTAGCACTGTTTGAGTCTACACTCCATACCAGTTAGGGGCGGTAATGCACCAACGTTTTTTCAACCGGAAATGAAACCCACGAAGAAGAAGTGTTTCGCCCCCTCGCAGCTTATGTACCAGAAGCCATGAGTTGCGCGGGCAAAGGGAGGCAGTAAGTCTGAGTCTGTAGTTTGTGTGTCGGTGACTTCCAGAGCGTCGTCATGATGCTGGAGAGGAGCAGAGTGATGGTGGTTGCGGACATTATCTTCAGCAGGAAACACGTTCCGGTCAGCGAGGAAGAAACTGTTCACTGTCGCTGCTCCAGAGCCTTCGTACTGTGAGCGACACACACGCAACTAGCACGCACACACAAGCCAACCTGTGAAGCTAGTTCTCTTCCCTAAAACTAAAATGAGCCTTTTTACAGTTACTAATGCGCATGCGTACAATCGGACACGCCCCCAAATAGTTTCTTAGCCATTTCCAGGCGGTGTTAATTTCTGTTGTTTTGTTTCTTTACCTGCTTTTTGTTGACTCTTGTATACAAATGCATTTGTAAATTAGTTTAATTGCTTTTTTACGTTTTGGAATCGATGTGTTGTGTCCCCGTGTGTCAGAATGACTGCAGAGCACCGTTAAAACAGGCAGATATGAACACTTGTGTTTAGTGTTTTAAATGTACAGTGGGGCAAGAAAGTATTTAGTCAGCCACTGGTTGTGCAAGTTCTACTTAGAAGAGAGGTCTGTATTTTTCATCATAGGTACACTTCAACTATGAGAGACAAAATTAAGAAAAAATAATCCAGGAAATCACATTGTAGGATTTTTAAAGAATTTAATTTGTAAATTATGTTGAAAAATAAGTGTTTGTTCTATAACGTTGGTTACGTACTGTAACCCCAGATTCTATGAGTATAAGCGTAGCCCTTTAAGGCTGTCGCTTAGTGGGTTTATCCCGATATGCGGAGCATTGCACTGAAAAAATTTAGTCCACGCCCACCTGCTGTGTGGGCCCCACCCGGTCCGTATAAATTACGTTAAGAGCAGGAAATCAGCTCCCAAAATAGCTTTTTCTTCAGCCATTTAGGAGCCAGTGAGGCCCGACGCTTAAAGGGCTACGCTTATACTCGTAGAATCTGGGGTTACAGTACGTAACCAACGTTCTATTTCGTATAAGCTTCGCCCTTTAAGGCTGTCGCTTAGTGGGTTAAGGGCGAAGCAGATGTGGTCCTTGCCTCACTGGGTCCATTCGAACACCGTATGAAGCAGAAGCTTGCCCCAAAAACGTCTTGTCACTCAGCTCTCCATGTGCGTAATTACGCATTGCGTAATTATGTGTGCCATGCACAGACGCATGTTGTGTAACTATGCATTTTGAATACATGAACGCCCTGGAAAACTTCAACGGGGAGGGAAAAAAGCTGAAAGAGCCATGAACCAACCGGTTATGGCTGAACCGTATGAACAGATTAATAATAACAGGAGAGCTGATTATTAATCAAATGAACTGATTGGTAACAATAGTCGTGAAACTGATTAGTGACAATAGAACCAAAATAACAGTCACAACTTGTGACTGATAACATCTCACATTGTAATGCATGCAGACAGGTGTGAGTAAAACGGAGTTCCATGAAACAACAATATTCATTCTGTAAAACACTAAAGACAGAATGTATCATGGAACGAGCCGTCACATTACGTAGATAAAAGCGAATAAATGAGCAGGGTGTTGACCACGCGGCCACAGTGCAAAATGTCCTGCATTGACATACATTATGCAAAGCAGTCGAAGATGCGATACCCCTGGTCGAGTGTGCTCTGAGGTTGACGTGAGGCTCTAAATCTGATGCTCTGTAGGCTTCAGAAATGGCCTCACACAGCCAGTGTGACAAACGCTGGGTGGATAACGGACGACCTGCAGATGCATCTCTATAATGCACAAACAAATGGTGACGCATTGCAGCTGTGCACGCTATGTAACACGTCAACGCCCGCACAGGACAGAGGAGATGAAAGATGCTACTTCTTCTGATCTGTGTGAAGGGGGGGGGGACCCCTCCAACGATATCGCTCTTGATTAAAAAGAGCTTGTGATGTTTTAGGCATAAAAGCTGGGTTGGTCTAAAATCAGCTGAGCTGCCGTCAGCCTGAATTCTGAGACATGACGGAGCGACAGAGAGGGCAGATAGAACACTCACTCTGTTAGCGGATGTTAAAACCAGCAGCAGGGCTGTTTAAAGAGACAAGAATTTAAGTGGGACCTGATCCAAAGACTCAAATGGAGCTTTGACCAGGACCTGCAGGACCAGTAGTAACAAATACTAGTAACAAATAGAATGGCTAATAGGAAAAGGTAACAAAACAAACAAAAAAAAAACAAACAAAAAAAAAAACAAACCCAGCTAGATTCCAAGACAAATGTAGAAAACTAAAAACAGGAACATGTCAGCATTGGACCCTGCCAGGTGTCCAACCGATTCTTAAAGACACTTAAAAAGGTCAAGGTCGAGAGCTTCAAATCTTTTTGTAAGATATTCCAGGAAACCGGGGCGGAATAGGAGAAGGCCCTTTTGCCTAGTTCCATCCTCATTGAGGGAACACTGCAGGTAATAATGTCCTGAGAGCGCACTCCGTAGCTGCACTCACGCAGAGACATGTAGGAGGAGATGTATGAAGGCAACAGACCAAGAAGTGATTTAAAGATGAAAATATACCAGTGAGAGAGTCTGCGTGAAGTTAATGATGTCCAGTTAACCAGTGAATACAGGGTGCAGTAGTGGGTACGATAATCACAGCCAGTTATGAATCTTAGTGCACCATGATAGACAGCATCCAACATCTGCAGGGTTCTTGTAGGAGCGTTCATGTAAATAATGTCACCATAATCAATTGAGGGAAGGAAAGTCACAGATACAAGGCGTTTTCTAGCATTCAGGGTTAGACAGGATCTGTTTCTGAAAAAGAAACCCAGTTTAACTTTCAGTTTCTTTATCAAGTTTTCCACATGGAGCTTAAAAGAGAGATGTGAGTCGACCAAGATACCCAAATATTTATAGGAATCAACAAACTCAATGGGGACACCATTTGAGGATAAAATCGGAGGAAGAACTGCTGGGACCAACTTCCTATTTGAAAAAAGCATCCCTTTGGTTTTGTCAGCATTTAGGACAAGTTTGAGGCGAAACAAATCAGTCTGGATGAAGTTGAATGCAGATTTCAAAAGCTGGAAAGCCTTAGCAACAGTTTTAGCTCGACAGTAAACAACTGTCATCAGCATAGAAATGTATGGATGCATTAGGGATGTTGTTACCTACATTATATATGTAGATTGTAAAGAGGGTGTGTCCTAAGACTGAGCCTTGTGGTACACCATTGTTGACTGTTAAATAACTGGAGGAAGTACCATTATGTTGAACATCCTGATGCATGCTCAATAATCCAGGTAGAAAAATCCAAAAAAGTTCAATCTGGTCCTCTGGACATTCAAAAAAACAAAAGCAAAACAAAGCAAAAAAAAAAATCTAGAAACATTTCGTCTCTCATCCAAGAGACTTCCTCAGTCTGAGGTGCTGTTTTCAGCTCAGTCTCTTAAATAGCACCTTCTTAGAGTGGATCAACCAGTTTGCTGCTGCTGTTGGAATTGTTTTAGAAGACACAAGACTAGAAACCAGAGAATCTCTAATGTAAATAATGACTCCACCCCCCCTTTTTTGACGATCACAGCGGTAGATGTTAAATCCTTTGATTGCCACGTCATTATTGAGTACAGATTTGTTGAGCCAGGATTCAGAAATAAAGATAACATCTGCCCCAGAAGAACTGACCAGAATTTTCAAAGCATCCAGTTTTCTCAGAAGGCTACGAGCGTTTACATGCAGAAAATGAAGCCCAGACACGTTCTTAAAGTCATTTGGTGTGCTGTAATTAGTGGGGGGTCCAGGGTTGGGCTGAATCCCTGAGAGCAGTAACAACATTATTATCAGACATTTTCTTGAGTTTTTTTGACTGATGTGTAATTACAGGAGTTAACAGTGTGACAATTAGCCCCCATAATCGAACCATGAGAAACGTTAATGAAGACGCGATCATTCAGAACCCAAAAACAGTGAAAGTTGCAGTGATGGACAGATTCAGGTGTATTAACAAGATTCAGTGACTCCAGATAATCTGAGAACTGAAAATAGTGACAATAATATGAATGATGCAGAAAAGTTTCAGACCATAAAACGTCACAGTTCAAATGGGCAAACAAACCCGACGAGTTGGCCCAACTGCAGTTTGAGTTGGGCTGAGGGGGGCTCCGGCCCCCCAGTGAAGATGGATGGATGCTCTCATGGGAAACAGAAGCTGGGTCCAGAATCAACAGGCCGAAACAGAAACAGATAATTAGCAGCAAATAGCAGAGCGAGCTGCCAGAAAATCCTCCTGAAGTGAAAGGCATGGTCCTAGCTCGTTTCAGGTCAACAGGGGCCAACAGCGTGATCCGGAATAAAATTAATTATTATCCAGGTGAGTTTGGATGGAGGCCTGCAGCAACTCCGATACAAACTCCGAACTTCTCTCGAGCACCACGCAACCCTGCTCCTTCACGCTGCTCCTTCACGCTGCTCCTCCTCTTCTCAGCACGTCACTTCCGCACCCGACAGCACGGGGCACCCCCGGTGAAAAGCGAGACTGACTGAAGAGGCTGAGGCTGAAGTCGGCAACTGGTCCGGTCCGATTCTGCTCCAGTTCGGCTCCGGCGCTCCAAGCACGAGAGACGAAGAGGCTGAAGATATCCCTGGCCCGGTTCTGCTCTGGTCCGGTGGCCCAGTCCGGCGGCGCGGTTCTGCTCCGGTCCGGCGGCTCTTCAAAGCACATTAGCGTCTCCTCCCGGTGAACACAACGACTCCACGGAGGTGGATCGTCCTTCGGTAAAAGTAACGGGCTGCTGACTGAAGCTGAGACCGGCTCTGACAGCCACCTCGGTTCAGTTCTGGTCCAATTCGAGGGACACAGGTACACTTCCCCCACACCTATGAAGACACCACGAGGGCCAGTCCAGCAGAAAACCAGCGAAATACCACCCGGCGATATTTGTCGGAACCAGGTAGAACCACAAAGGTCCAGATAAGAGTTGTTGAGGTCCAGAGAGAGAGAGAAAAAAACACCAGACCTTCGTGCGTCGACTCCCCAGCTCGAGGGGTCACCTGGCCGGCAGGGTGCGCTCAGAGTGACCGGTGCGCGGGAGCGGCCGGTCCTGGACCAAAATGTTTTTTTTTGGACGGTCCCTTCTGGCTCTCTGAGTCACTGAACACCGAATTTGGTTGGAAGGAGGACCAACTTTAGTCCGGT